TCATGGCCTTCACCCTTCAGAATGTTCTGGCCCCAGCCTAGCTCTGTATCTGATCTTGTGCAATTCTCTCTCTTGCTCTCTGACTTCGCAGCTCCTATGAATTGCCAAGCTCCTTCCTCTCTTGGGGTCTTTGTGCTGCTCCCTTTGTAAGAAGAGTCTTCTTTCAGCTAGATTTGTAATACCCCTCCAAGACTCAGGGAGGTGTCACTTCCTCAGAGAGAACTTTCCTGACTCAATCTAGTGCAATCTCTCTTCTCATGGCATTCTTTTCTTCAGTAATCATAATTTGTACTTAGATGTTTTGGTTTATTGTTTTAATGTCACTCTCTGCCACTGGACTCTAAGAGAAAGAATTCATGCCCCTTGTTCACCACACTTGAAACCCAGGACATGTCTAAAGACATAAACATCTTTTGGTTTTTTTTTATTTTTAAAAAAAAATTTTTTTTCAACGTTTTTATTTATTTTTGGGACAGAGAGAGACAGAGCATGAACAGGGGAGGGGCAGAGAGAGAGGGAGACACAGAATCGGAAACAGGCTCCAGGCTCTGAGCCATCAGCCCAGAGCCTGACGCGGGGCTCAAACTCGCGGACCGCGAGATCGTGACCTGGCTGAAGCCGGACGCTTAACCGACTGCGCCACCCAGGCGCCCCGGCGGTAAAGACATAAACATCTTTTGAATGAATGGATTCAGGGATCCCCTTTGCCTTCTTCTCAAAGATCCCCACCCTGCTCAAATTATCATTTCAATTATACAATACAGATTTTCCTTTCTTATTCCATTTGTTCAATACCTATTTACATTTTGACTCCAAAAACTGAAAGATGAAGGCTGAAACTTCTTATCTTTCTTCCCCCAAAAAATCACAACCATAGAGAAGGTAGAATTTTGAGTCCTGCTTTACATCCTTGCTCCCTCTTCTAATCAAGACGTGGAGTTAATCAAACACAGCAAATGAAATTATAAGAACACATGACCTGTACCTTCGCCACTGAGTATTAAGATGAGGGGGTTAAAATATTATCAGAATGCCTCAAAGGAACACCCTGTATTCTCAGATAACAAGGAAGTAATTCTTAAGAGGAATTGTTAATTGAACAGTCCTCCAAATTATGATCTTTGAAGTGTATAAATATATATTCCTGTTTTCATCCCATTTATAACTCTGAATCTATCCCAAACCCAGCATAAAACAAATGGTACATTGCTGAGCTGGACAAGCTTTATCTTTAGTTTGTTCTCATAGATGTCCTAATGATTTATTAATAGCAACAGCAAAAAAATGTTGCTTGAGTGATTTCAGTAACTTATTAAACGATAGTGATAAACACTTTGCTTTCATGGCACCATCAACCTTCATTTCTTAATATGTAAAAAAGCACCATTTTGCCTAGCATTCTTTTTTTTTCCTTCACTAATAGTAAATTCATCAGGGAAAATAAAATTTCTTGAAAGAATCAAAATTGATGCCTCCTGTGTCTGTCCTACTGGACAAAATACAATGCTGTTCAACAATCATCAGCTATTTGTATTTTAAGAAAACCGATTTGCACGCAGAAACAACACAACATCTGGTCAACTCCTCTTCCTTTACTCTAGATATGGAACAAAGGCCTTATCTCAGCAGACAGAAAGGGAAACAATTTATGTTTTCATGAATTCAGCTCTGCTCAGCAAATTAATTCATTCATTAATTAAAATGAACAGCACAAAAAGGGTATGTTTTGGTCAATCAATTGCCTGCAATCATAGGAGAATTTTGAAATACAAAAGGCTGCATGTTTTACTTAGCTGAAACCAGAATGTTACTCTTTTATCACAATTTAGCAGACATGTCACATGAGGAAAAGCCTCACAGTACTCTGTAGCACACCAGCAGCTGCTTTCAAAACTAGACAGGTAGCATTATTCTAATGATTTTATTTTATTTAAAGCGATTGCCTTTGTTCTATGTGAAGATTCCATCACTGAGCCATACAACTACTTAGGTTTTTTCGTTTAAGAAGGAAAGCAGTTAATTTCTGCATATAAAACTAATAATGGAATTTTAAAAAAAATGTGATGTGTTTTCAAACTCATGAAATTTTTTAAATGGGCATTTCAAATTTTTAGTTTTGAAGGAGAATAGTTCAGAGAAAAATCATTGTTATCATAATGACATGTATTTGTATGTTTTTTTTTTTTAATTCCAGTATAGCTAACATATAGTGTTACATTAGTTGCAGATGTACAATATAGTGATTCAATACTTCCATACATCGCCCAGTCCTCATCAGGACAAGTGCACTCCTTAATCCCCATAACCTATTTCACTCATCCCTCCCACCCAACCTCTCCTCTGGTAACCGTCAGTTTGGTCTCTATAGTTAAAAGTTTGTTTTTTGTCTTTTTTTTTTTTTAATTCCACATCTGAGTGAAATCATGTGGTTTCACTTAGCATTATACCCTCTAGATTCATTCATGTTTTGCAAATGGCAACATTTCATCTTTTATGACTAATATTCCATTGTATACATATATGTATACACACACACACACATCATTCATCTACCAATAGACACCTAGGCTGCTTCTATAATTTGCCTATTGTAAATTATACTGCAATAAACATATATGTATATATATTTTCAAATAAATGTTTTTGTATTCTTTGGGTAAATACCCAGTAGAATTAATGGATAACACAGTTCTATTCTGTACTTTTCGAGGAACCTATATAATGTTTTCCATAGTGGGTGCACTAGTCTGCATTCCCTCAACAGTGAACAAGGGCTTTTTTTTCCATATCCTCACCAAACCTGTGTCTTTGATTTTAGTCATTCTCACAGGTATTAGGTGATACCTCACTGTGGTTTTGATATGCATTTCCCTGATGAGTGATGTTGAACATCTTTTCATGAGTCTGTTAGCCATCTGTGTGTCTTCATTGGAGAAATGTCTGTTCACATCTTCTATCCATTTTTCATTAGTTTTTTTTTTTGTGTGTGTGTGTGTGTGTGTGTGTGTGTGTTGAGTTGTAGAAGTTCTTTCTATATTTTGGATACTCTTTTTGGATATGTTATTTGCAAATATCTTCCACAGGTTGTCTTTCAGGGTTTTTAAAAATTTTTTTAATGTTTATTTTTGGGAGAAAGAGACAACAGACAGACAGACAGACAGCAAGTGGGGGAGGAACAGAGAGACAGAGACACAGAATCCGAAGCAGGCTCCAGGCTCCGAGCCTGACACAGGGCTTGAACTCACAAACCATGAGATCATGACCTGAGCCAAAGTCGGACACTTAACCGACAGAACCACCCAGGCATCCCAGTTGTCTTTCAGTTTTGTGGATGGTTTCATTTGCTGTGCAGAAGTTTTTTATTTTGATGTAGTCCTAATAGTTTATTTTTGCTTTTACTTCCCTTGCCTCAGGAGACCTATAGAGAAAAATGCTGCTATGGCCTATGTCAGAGGAATTACTGCCTATACTCTCTTCTCGGAATTTTTTTTTTTCTTTTTTGGTTTCAGGGCTCACATGTCTTTAATCCATTTTGAGTTTATTTTTATGTATGGTGTGAGGAAGTGGTCCAATTTTCCCAATACCTCTTCTTGAAGAGACTTTTTTACCATTGTATATTCTTGCCTCTTTTGTTGAAGATTAATTGACCATATAATTGTGAGTTTATTTCTGGGTTTTCTATTCTGTTCCATTGATCTATGTTTCTATTTTTATGCCAGTACCTTTTTTTTTTTTTTTTTTTTTTTAACAATCTCTACAGTCAACATGGGGCTCAAACTCACAACCTGGAGATCAAGAGTCACATGCTCTTCTGACTGAGCCAGCCAGGTGCCCCAGTACCATACTGTTTTGATTACTACAGCTTTGTGGTCTATCTTGAAATATGGGATTGTGATACCATCAGTTTTGTTCTTCCTTTTCAAGATTGCTGTGGCTATTCAGGATCTTTTGAGGTTCCACACAAATTTTAGAATTATTTTTTTCTAGTTCTGCGAAAACTGCTGTTGATATTTTGATAGGTATTGCATTAAATCTGTAGATTGCTTGGGTAGTATGAACATTTTAACAATATTTGTTCTTCCAACCTATGAGCATGAAACATCTTGCCATTTCTTTGTGTTGTCTTCAATTTGTTTTCATCAATGGTTTATAGTTTTCAGAGCACAGGTATTTCATCTCCTTAGTTAAGTGTATTCCTGGGCATTTTATTATTTTTAGTGCAATTATAAATGGGATTGTTTTCTTAATTTCTCTTTCTGTCATTTCATTATTAGTGAATAGAAATCCAACAGATTTCTGTACACTGATTTTATATCCTGTGACCTTACTGAATTCATTGATCAGTTCTAGTAGTTTTTTGGTGGAATCTTAGGGTTTTCTATATGTAGTAACATGTCATCTGCAAATAGTGAAAGTTTTACTTCTTCCTGACCAATTTGGATACATTTTCTTTTTCTTATCTGATTGCTGTGGCCAGGACTTCTAGTACTGTATTGAATGAAAGTGGTGGGAGTGGCCATCCTCATCTTATTGCAAATCTTAGGGGGAAAGTTCTCAATTTTTTCATAATTGAACAAGATTTTAGCTATGGGTTTTTCATAGAAGGTATTTTGAGGTATGTTCCTTCTAAGCCTACTTTGTTGAGAGTTTTTATCATGAACGGATGTTGTACTTATAATGAAATGTATTTGAATAGCATTTCCTTGACCAGTATTACTTAACAGCAGTGTTTCCCAAATGGGGGCGGTTGTGTACCCCAAGGGGAAGACCTTTTTGCCTGTCACCCTGCAGAGGTGCTACTGGCATCTAGTGAGTAGACAGACCAGAGCTGCTGCAAGCAAAGCACACTACAATGTACAAGATAGTCTCTCTCTATAACAACCACAACAAACACCCAGTTCCAAATGTCATTAGTGCTCAGGTGAGATAAACTGCTTGAAAGCAAAACCATTCAAAACGTTTTCTTTTCCTTTTCTTTTCTTTTCTTTTTTTTTTTTTTTCATTGAGCTTTGAATGCACTGAACAGGTCAGGTTTTTAAAAGGAGGATCATTCTAGACAAAATCTGAACATGTGTAGTCATAGTCTGGAGAAACTTAAATATGGCCCCAAATGACACTACTCAGAACAATTAATGTTAAGTATATAAAAGTATATACAATTTTCTAAATGGACACAGCTTTGGCATAATAATAGATCTCCACTTATATTCACTTCAAACTTTCATTTTTCTGTCTGGTACACAATAGGTAGTCAACAAATATTTGAAGTGAGGAGGAAGGGAAGGATCTATCTTCTTGCACCACACTTCAGGGTATTTTATAACATTAAGCCAAGACAATGGACTACATTAGGTTATTAATATGTCTTCCAAAGTTCTCCCTTCCTCCATATTACTAGAAGGGAGCCAGCCAGCCAGAGCCATTCCCTAGTCTCCCACTCTGCTAGCTGTGTCCACAAAAGTTCTCACCAATGCACATGATGCTGTTTTTCCTTAATTTCCTCTCCTGTCCCTTTGGGATGTGCACATGGCACTGACAGTTTCAACCATGCCAATGAGGCTAATTCCCTAACGGGAGCAGTAGGATAGATACGATCCAGGCTGTTGAATAATCACTTGGCTTAGAACTACCTCTCCTGCACAGATTACTCACCTCCAGAATGGCATTAAATAGTATTTAATCTACCATACTTTGTTACAGCCACTGATACATGGCAATTCTACAATTTGATATCCCCTATGATACAACCACTATAAATACATTTTATCTGAAGAAATGTTAAGATGGTAATTTTTTAAAGTTTCAGTGCAAATAATACTCAAAAATCTGTATTATATAGTCACTTTATAGTGATTATAGCTTACCAGGAAGAAATGCCATGTCTATAATACTGTTAATTCTCATTTATCCAATCTAAAAGGAAAAAGAAGGCACACAAGAAACCTAGATCTAGGGGCGCCTGGGTGGCGCAGTCGGTTAAGCGTCTGACTTCAGCCAGGTCACGATCTCGTGGTCCGCGAGTTCGAGCCCCGCGTCGGGCTCTGGGCTGATGGCTCAGAGCCTGGAGCCTGTTTCCGATTCTGTCTCCCTCTCTCTCTGCCCCTCCCCCGTTCATGCTCTGTCTCTCTCTGTCCCAAAAATAAATAAACGTTGAAAAAAAAAAAAAAAGAAACCTAGATCTGATTGCCCAAGGAAATCATTGTTTCAGTGAGGTACTGTTCATGTAAACTCATGCTAATGGCAGCAAGCTGAACTCTGTAAAATGTAGGCTAAAAGACAATTTTGACTCCAAAAACATTAAAATTATAGCATTTTCTCGCCCTTGTTCCCCCTTTGATTAAGGTACTGATAAAAATTCTAGTAGTGAGAGGGAAAATAAGTGAAGGCCAGAAGATTCCACAAACTAAACAATTAGCATCAAATAGATGATTTCTTAATAGGTTATATATTCAAATTGTTAATATTCAATTAAATTTAATTCAAAAGCCTCTGTATCTATCGTGGTTTCAGGAAATATGTACCTGCTTCTCCTTGAGTACATTCTCAAACCTCACGGTATTTTCCTCTAGACTTCATTTAGCATATGTATTTAGTCAACGATTTATTCCTACTTTGTGTGGATGAGGGGGAATCATTGATAAAATATTTCTTATGCAACTGCAACATATATATATATGTTAAGCAGTTCATATTTTCCATCAATATTTCACTTTTTAAAATATAACCCCCATAATAAAAATTAATGTCTTGAATATAACATCTGCTATAAAGCCATGGACTTTTACTGGGAAATATTTTTACCTTAAAGAGGAAATCAGTAAAAATACCAAGATATATATTGTAATTTTTTTTAACAACTTCTCCCCAAAATCATATTTGTGCATTGTTCTGAGAAGTCTATGGCCATTAATCTGATGATCTATGCAATTTTTTATGAGAACTTGAAAATCAAAAGCATGAGGAGAGCATGATTAAAAAAGTAAAAAAGCTGGGTCTGAAATATCTTTTGAAAGATTCTAAAATTCTAAAGAATTTGAATGCCTCAAAACAGAATCATTTCTAAATTTTTTCATGGTACAAATTTCATGGTATGAATCTTTATATCTGAAAAAAATCACAATTTACATATTAAGTTAAAAATATTTCCTACTTTCAGAGAATTATTGCTTTTGACATTTAAAAAAATTTTTTTTAATCTTTGAGAGAGAGACAGACAGAGTGTGAGTGGGGGAAGGGCAAAGAGAGAGGGAGACACAGAATCTGAGGCAGGCTCCAGGCTCTGAGCTGTTAGCACAGAGCCCGGCGCAGGGTTTGAACTCACAAACTGCGAGATCATGACCTGAGCTGAAGTTGGATGTTTAACTGACTGAGCCACCCAGGTGCCCCTATTACTTTTGACATTTTTTAAAAGAAGGTTTACTTCTCTCCCAATTGAATAGGAACATACTGATTACTGATAGCGTAGATTTTTGAATTTTAATTCAGGAATAAGTTTACCTCATAATACAAAATTTAAAAGTTTCACAATCTCTCTCCTTCCCAATTTCTCAGTGAATTGCTAATTTATAATCTACTAAAAGCAAAAGACAACTAAATGACACATCTGGACCCAAGTAAATATTTCCCCAGTTTCACTAGTGCCCGTGAATGTGCCCAAGGGAACAATCAGTATATGACCACAGTGAGTCTACGACAGTTATATGAAAATGGGATCATCTACTCTTAAACACATAATTATTTAAAATCAATCACAATTCTCAAATTTAAAAAAATGACAAAAAGGTTTCAGAATCTCCAAACACATCAAGTTCACGGATGCCACGTTTTCTACCTGAGGTAAATCGCAATCTCTCTGCGCTTCCTTTTTGTTTGATCTATGAACAAAGGAGACCTGTGTCAGTTAGGGCTTCTCCACGGGGGCAGCACCCTAGGAGATGATTTGGAAATAGGCAGAACATTTTGTTTTCACAGGGACAGGCACTTAGGGGGCAGGGCTAGGGGTCCGCCACACATCCCACAACTGTCTCCAGGGTCCCCTTGAACTTTTACGTGTCGCTCTAACCATTCCTTTCATTAGAACCTTCAGGTCAGTAGGACGACCTGAGCTAAAGAGTAACTCCTTTTTACGTATAAACAAGTTGTTTTAATTTCATTTTAACAAACACTGAATTTTCCAGGGACTCAACTCCCATTTAAATGTGCACTTTTGTTTGGAACTTTACCAAGTCGTTCACCATTTCAGAAAAACATCGCCTCATGCATGGCACATCCACTCACTGTATCGGATCCCAATGCAGCGTACCTGGGCCAGGATTCTTTTGCAGTGATTGCAATGCTGTGAGTAGGTACAAACCTGCCACTCATGTGCCTCAGTATTTATAGACTGAAATTTGTAATTTGTTATAAATTACATCCCTGTTACTTTATATCACAATTAGAGAAGTGTATTGGCTATTTTTAACATAACCTACTTGCATATGCATTTATCCATGTATTTCATTGCAGGATAGTGAAAGAGTAATACAAAACATTTTATTTATAAAAGGGGGAGGGGTGCCTGGATGGCTCAGTCAGTTAAGCGTCCAACCTTGGTTAAAGTCATGATCTCTCGGTCACTAAGTTTGAGCCTCGCGTTGGGCTCTGGGCTGACAGTTGGGAGCCTGGAGTCTCCTTCTATTCTGTGTCTCCCTCTCTCTCTGCTCCTCCCCTGCTCACACTCTGTCTCTCAAAAATAAATAAATATTTAAAAAAATTAAAACAAAACAAAACAAAAAAAGTCTCTAGGTTTGGAGGGATGCAAACCACTAACCTAGAGTATGTAATAAAAGGCTCCTTGCAACTCCAACATTCCTTGATTCTATGAGAAACTTTGTTTGGCAAGCCCCGATCATTAGCAAGCCTTTACTTCTACTCTTATGTTTAAAAGTATTGCAATTAAGTTAAAAAGAGAAGTAAATATGGTTGCTAAGGTGATACATAAAAACACAGACTCTGCTAAACTCTCAACATTTGTGCGAGCAGTGAGAAATACCACGGTAGCTGATGTCTTTCACAGGTTAATAGAGAGCTACAGAAAAATAACCTAAGGTAGAACTGGAGCCTTCCTATGTATTTGGTCTCAAAAGACTACACTAGTGGCCTCACAGGTAACCTTTGTTCTCTCCTTGGGCTGAATGTAATACATGTTAGCGATGTGCTGCCTTAGCATTTCTTAGCATTTCTCCCATGAAGTTCATTTATAAAGAAAATATACATTGGCAAGCAATGCAAATGTTTCCAACGTGGAACTGGATGAATACCTCTCACAGCCAAGCTGCACACAAGTCTACTTAGCAAAGCTTGTCATTCAAAAAGCAACACCTTCAACTCATTACTGGCTTGCAGATGGTATAAATATACTCCCATTTTTTCTGGGGCAATCATTCTCTGTCATCAGACTGAGGGATAATGATGATCCTCACTGTACTGGTTTCCAGTTTGTGAAAATAAACTGTAGTCACCCCTTCCCCACACAACTGGATCCTTAACACTCCCACCTTCACTATATCTGACCATCCACCATTATTACTTCTTTACCCCACTATATTAATGCCCATAGGGGGGCAACAATTCAACTTTCCATAGACTTCCATACGTTAAAATAACCCCTAAGACAAAGTTGGAGGACATACTCCTTGGTGAAAAAAAAACAACCAACCCATACTTCATGTATAATAAATATAGCCATCCTGGCCAAATGACCAAAAGCCAGGAAACACCTGATTACATACTTAGTATTCAATATGAAAGAAAAAAGAATAAAAATTAGGTTTGACTAACATACCAAAACAAGTATAAGATAAAGAACAACCAATTATAAAATTGTCCATCAAGAAGGTTTAACATTATTTATAAAGCAACAAAATGTTATTGAGGTATTTAAGTAACATATCAGAAGATAACTCTTCATGAGTTTTGAAAATTTCGAAATTACTAGATCAGATGAACAAGTAATAAAACTATTTGAAGGTATATGTAGTTTTTAAGGGATATGTATTAGTTTTAACTCATGAGTTTCTGAAAATAAATCACTTATAATTTACAAAGAAAGGAAAATCTCAATTAACAGCAGTATCTTTTGTAAATGACTCTCACAATTTTTCCTCCTCACCTCACATACACGTAAGATATCAAATTTCCAATTTTCTGAAAACTTACCACCAAATAACCACAGGAAACAATACAGCTTAGGTCTCAACTTCCCCATATTAAACAGTATAGTTTCAGTCCCCACCATTAGAATGACTATCCGACTTCATTGTTTGGATTTATAAAGATTATGGGGTTGGCATTTAGGTTGAGGGGCATATTTAACCAGATGAAACATTTTAAATCTACAGGATTCAAAACCTGGAAGAAGCAGCTTTGCCACTGGCCCTTTGAAAAAAGAAAAGGATAGAACAACGGGACTCGGGCCTAGGAGCTTCTTACCCGCAGGGCCTCGATGACCAGGTCTCTGGCCTCCAGCTCCCCCTCCATCACGCTGAGAAGCATCCGAAGCTCTGATTTACTGAGGGTGTCCACATCAAACTCTTTTTTCTGTAACACAAATATTTAAAAAGCAATGAAAAAACTATTAGTAGGACAATACACACATCTTAAAGGTTTGCAATGGACTGTTTTTATCGCAGAGGCTCAGCAAATCCCAGAAGCACAAGGGGCCCTGTGCAGTAGCAGATCATCTATGCTCGGGCCTTTTAGGAGGAAAGGTAAAAACTGTAAGGCCACTGGCCCAAATCTCTTCATGAAGGAAATCTATTTTCCCAGCCTGCCTGCACACCTGGATTCAAAATCTCTTCAAACTGTGACACCAACTGAAAGTCTCTGGAGTTTCTATTAAAACAGGCCTGGTATATGTCCAGGAGAAGTTGCAGGGGTAGCAAAGAAAGCACGAGAATGTATTCCTAGAAGGGCCCCAATGTAAAGGCTCCTGGGAGGTTATTATAAATTCCGGGACATCCAATAATAACAGGTCATGTTTATAGAACACTCCGCAGCAGAGGTAACCAGCTGGCAGCCTACAGCCAAATCTGGCCTACAGATGTGTGTAACCTGGGCCACAAAGGGTTTTGTTTTTAACTCAGCCAGCACTAAACAAACAAACAAACAAACAAAAACCTGAGGATGTCACCAAAAAATCCAGATCTCTGGCTTCTCTTCAAAATTCAGATGATCAGTTAACCCTGGACCCACATTCCCACAGAGCAATAATCTGCAGCAGCCCCTTTAGAAGGAATATGCTCTTGGCTTTGCTACCCCACTCTCCCCACCAAACACCTATAGACACTCACAGGGCAGGCATATGTACTTTGAAGAGGCCTGGTCCACCACCCACATTTAGTCAACTGGGTCTGCGGTCAGATGAGTCTGGAACCTGCTGTATGAATACCAAACGCTTTGTTAAGCAATACCTTGTAGCTTTTTGCCATTCCAAAGGCAGGCTGGGGCTGGAGTACGTGAGCCTTCCACAGATTCAGCTACACCACAAGGTAACAGCACCACGGCCCAGGGGACACATCCTCACCCATCACCCTTTCAGCTCCACAGTATCTTCTCCATTCCTTCCCTGGTAACTGCATCCAATCTCACCTCTTAAAATCCCATTACTATACCACAGACGCCCAGTGCTTTTGTCTCCAACTCTGCCCCCTTTCCTCACAACAAGTTTCATGGGCAGGTCTTAGGGCAGCCGCCTTAGGATCAACTAGCATGCTCACAGCCCAGCCTGGGCAAATCCACAGCCTGAGCTCCTCTACACACAGTCCACTGCACCCTTCTGTGCAGGGGCTCATTTGATAAACCCACTCACCATCAGCGGGAGGGGAGCATATGTTCATCCCCAAATGCCTCAGAATACCCAACCTCAGAAGCCATTCTTCAGAACATTCCAGAACATTATTTCACATTTTCACAGAACCCAAAGGTTTCCAAAGTATTCTCAAAAAAACCAAATCTAATCTGTAAGATAGCATCTCTATTTTTCAGTTAAGAAAACCACAAGTCAGAGAAGTTAGACCATTCAACCAGGAAATGACAAAACTACAACTAAGTGCCTGTCTGCACACTTTACCAGCACAGTGACAACACTCTAAAG